ACACCAGTATTAGTCACCGCTAACTGCCTAAACTAATCGGATAAAATACGGTGCAGCCGTCATCTAACTGCGATATAAAAGGGTACGACATAGCAAACAAGAACCCGTCTGACAGTGGTGATGTCAGTACAGTGCGTCAGATTCTAAATCTCATTCGGAAGTATGTCTGCACAAACATGATCACGCCTACGCGGAAGTAATTCAACTCTACGGCTCGCATGAACCAGTTAACATTACCGTATCATCAAATGTGCAGGGAAATAAATTTGTCAAACAAACAACCGCACAGCACACACAAGGTAGCCAGCACTAGAACATATCACGTCGACGCGTTATTTATGTTGATCATTCAACGCTACCGCTTGCACAAAACACCCACGACACTTGATCTCCCCCTCTGAAGGATCGACCGGCCGAGAATCACTGCCACATCACCAGACTCACAAGGAATTATACCGCAATCCATACATACCGCCGCACAACACCAAAATTAACGTTGACCAAAATGAAGAAAGCGCTGACAGTCGACGTCGGCGCACCGTTCGGGAGTAAAGCGCCTAGGTATGTTCGCGCAATTTGGGTGCCCAGGCAGCGCGCGGTCGCCAGGAAAGCACCAAGGGCGCAACCATTAGTATTACTTCGCGCGATGACTCGCCGTGGCACTGAAGTCACCGGTTGCCACGGTGCTGGAACGCAAAGGCGCAGCCAGGCCACGCCATGAGATGCTGTACCAACTGCAACGCCGCCCCAGCTGGTGATTGGACGGCACCAGCGTGGACAGCCGCATTCCCTGGCAGGAACCTGGATTGCCTGCATCCGACGCTTCGGCCCGCTGTCTTCCGTCTGCCGCTGCTTCAGCTCGTTCCCAGCTAGGAAGTTTACCGCCACGTAATAGTCACACATGGCCCAATCATGGCACGCCACCTCTATGGGCCACCACAGGTCATCAGCTGATTGGCTGACCTCACGCTCACATTTGGCTCGAATTCCCACGTGCCCATAACCGCACCTTCATCATCTTCGTAGTTTTTGCTCAGTCATCACAATGCCTACGAAAATGGTGTGATCCGCCGCCAGCACCCTCTCGCCTTCGACGAAGCAACACGATCCGACGCCACAATCAACAAACTTCGGCACAGCGCCAAGCGAAAGTTCCGCTGTGACCCCGTTCAACGAAGCCATGTTTGTTTTTTCGATCTTGTGTTGCGAGAGCACGGAGTGTTTTTTGGAGGTGTAAATAATGAATTCCTGTTTTGGAATGTCGGCGGCGGCACCACCGGCCGATTAGAGCATTACAGCTAGACCGGCTGCGTTTTCTGACCGTGCTCAAAAAGTACTGCAGGGACTTTTACGATTTTTTTATACGAATGAGTATGCAGCGCGATAACGGAGCTGGAAAATTCAGGCTGGATGTCACTACAGTTAGACTCGCATCCCCGCTGTAGTGAGAAATATTAAAGCGAACAGAATTACTATGCCATGTCATGTCACAGAGAGACAGAAAAACTTTATTAGAGCAAGTGTGTTAGGACCTTCCGGGATCCTTGGACCACCGCGTGGTCCCGCAACACGCCTACACTGCCATGCCTCTCGCCGCGAAGACATCGAATGCCCTAGTTAACGCAGCAAGCTACATCAACGGGTCCGGAGGCGAGAGCAGGACCTCCCAGTCCTCCCAGCTTGAGATGGCAGGCTGTCTCTGCGGGGGAAGATCAGCAGGGAAGCTGAATAGGATATGGGTTTCATGTGAATCGCTTACATTTGATTATGCTGAGCCGGAGGTCGCGAGATTGAATATCGGCTTTGGCGACTGCATTTTAGATGGAGGCAAAAATGCTGCAGGCCAAGTGCTCAGATGTTGGTACACGTTAAAGAACCACAAGTAGTTACGCCGTCTCTCATAATGATATGGTGGTTTTGTGACGTTAAACCCCACGTATGATTCAATAATTCAGCTAACATTCGATTACAACAGCAAGCACCAAGATCCAGCATATTGCATTTCAGAGCCGCTGAGTGCGATGTATTGTATTAGCTTAGTTGTTGGTGGCGATATTGAAAAGAAAGCCGCACGTGGCCGATTATTTTATTTATTTATTTATTTATTTGATACTGTCCACCCCGTGCTTGAGGTCATTACAGGGAGGGTGTCACAAAGTACATAACGTTCGCACAAGAAAGAAAAATTCAAAGGCACTTCTAAATACGAGATGAATAATCAACAATAAGAAATAAAAAACAAACAGTGACTACACACATAAAAATCAACGAATATATGCTGACAACAGAATTTAGCACGAACAAAGAAAACCGTCCAATGCATTTTCAAAATCCACTGATGTTGTTTGTTGCACAACCACATTGGGTAAACTATTCAACATAACTATTCTGTCTGGGAAAAAGGAGTGGCGGAAAGCATTCGTGCGTGTGAAATAAAGTTGAATTGCTCTACTATTATTACGACAATCACATCGCCTTCCAGGGCCTGAATATATAAATCCTTATTTATCTTTTTTTGCCCGCTTATAATGTTACGAAGAAATTTGAGCCGCTGTTTTCGCCTGCGGTATTCCGAAGACTCAAGCTCACAGAACATTAACAAAGCTGTGACTGAGTGTGTGCGTCGGTATCTACCGCATATGAAACGGACTGCCAATTTTTGTATTCTTTCAAATTTTGTCCACAATACCTTCTGGTGAGGTGCCCATACAATACTCGCGTACTCTAAGACAGGACATATGAATGTTTTGTAAGCAGTTAGTTTTACATCTGGTGTGGCATGTTCCAGTTTTTTTAGGAAATACAGTTTTTTATTTGCCTTAGTACAGATGTTATTGATTTGCAAGTGTCATTTCAATGTGTGCATAAATCTAACTCCTAGGTATTTAAAACAATCGGCATTATTTAAAGGGTGACTTCCGTTGTGATACATGAATGACAATTCCCGCCCACTAGAGTGAACATGCGTAAATGTCGTCTTGCTATAGCTTATTTCCATGTCCCCTATTATACACCGCTGATCTGATGCCTGTAAACACAATTTCAGATTAATTTGGTCACCTTGGCAACTAACTGGGGAATAAATCAAGCAGTCATCTGCAAAAAGTTTCATTTTAAATGGAGCCTCAACTATTGAAGATAGATCATTAATAAATATCAGAAAAAGAATTTGTCCTAAAACAGATCCTTGGGGAATGCCCGAGTGCACGGCCAGTGGTCTTGAAGTGTAATTTTCAATTTCTACAGCCAGTTGACGTGCGGATAAATAGGCCTCTATCCACTTTAGTGCTTCTTCGCTTAATCCTGATCTTTCAAGCTTGAAAAGTAAGTTACGATGAGAGACCTTATCAAAGGCTTTCCTAAAATCGACACAAATTACATCAGTCTGCAGAAGGGCATCGCTGTTTTTATTGAAATCATGGAGCGTTTCAGTTAATTGTGTCACTGTAGATAGACCATGCTGAAACCCATGTTGGCTTGCGCAAAGTAACTGGTTAGAATAAAAAAAAAACTAAGATTATGTTTCGCTAATACATGTTCCAGAACATTACAGCAAACGGACGTCAAGGATACGGACCTGTACTTGTTTACTAACGAGCGGTTACCGTTTTTAAAAATCGAAATTACAACTGCATTGCGCCAGTCTAGTGGAAGTGATCGCATCTCAACCGATTTAAGAAATATTATTTCTAAATGAAACGAGACGCATTCTGCGTATCTCTTGAGAAACTCTGTTTGTAGGTTATTCGGACCACTTCCTTTCTTCGCATCTAGCTCAAGCAGTAACTGAAAAACACCTTCGCGATTGATAATAACAGGTTCCATTTCGGTTGTTACACTGTTACTGGTGGATGCCCCTATGTTATCGCCCTGGTATATTGTGAAAATAGACTGAAAGAAGCGACTAAAACTACCTGCTAAGTCTTCAACTTTTGTCAGGATACAACCCTCATGTTCAATCTGCTCAATTCTTTCCTTTCTGTCACTAATGTAACGCCAGAATTTGGATGGCGAACTTTTAAGGAAGTTCATAAGCGTTTGGCCAAAGAACTTATTTTTGGAACTCACAAGGGCTTCTTTCAACTTGATTTTTATAGCTGCAACTTCCGTCGCTCACTTTGTTACTTTTCCTTAATCTCTTAATTCGCTGTTTTATATGTATGATGCTGCGCATTATCCAGGGATTTCGTTTACATGTTTTCTCAATACGAGTAGGGACAAAGCGATCGACGCAAGTTACGACGTTGGCCTCAAATCTCTGACACAATTGCTCTACAGATTCAACATGTGATGCTCGCTCGAAATAATTAAAGTGGAGCTCGAGAAAATCTATGATGGAAGTGTCATCTGCCTTTTTAAAGTTCTTTACTTTTACCGGAAGGAACGGTTTCTCTAAACTGCATGCACTAGTTTTAATGACTAAAGACAACATATTGTGGTCGGACAAGCCATCTAAAATATTTAAAACATAGTCTGTTATGTTTTGAGACAAATATACGAGGTCTAACAATGACTTCGACGAACCTGTAACCCTCGTTGGTTCATGCATAATTTCTTCCAGGCCATGACAGAATTTAATTTCCAAAAGTTTTTCGCAGCTAATTGTTTCAGACTCAGCCGGCAAAACATTTTGCCAATCAATGTGAGGCAAGTTGAAGTCTCCGGCCATTATCAACCTCGCGCTCGCGTTAACCTGGTCACACAAAAAATCACTTAACAAATCCAGAAACTGAAGCTCACACGCAAGTGGTCTGTGTACTGAGCGTCGTATATATATTTATTTATCACACGCGATATGTCGGTGTTTCAAATATATTCTGTATAGGTCAGTTAGATAAGCCGATATGATTGTTACAGGTTGCAGAGGTTCTACTATTAATGCGGTTCGCTTGAACAACGCCTGACTGCAAGTGAGGCCGTATTTGCCAGAGCTTCTTCCTTCGATTCTCCGCAGCCGGTGAATGTGGCGCGTGCACGTCTGCGGCGACGGCGCGTCCGCCTTCCGTCGTCGGCGCGCCTCTACCGCTTGCGCACTCTTCCTGCCGTCTCACCCGCGTTCCGTTGGAAACCACTGCTGCGAGTCCCCCTCGGCGACGGTGAACACAGGTGCGTGCCCTCTTCTTACAAAGTGTGTTCACGCTAAGCTGTCAGGTGTACAAACAGTGCATTGATTTCCTCGTGCTGTCACATGTGGCATCTTGGCTGCCTTGTTTTAGCGTTGAAGCGATCCCGTGTTTCGTTAACGCGTATTGAGGCACACATGTTGGGATTTTTCAACACCGCGAGAGGTGCAAATGGTGACTGGCAGTTTTCATCTGTTAGAAGCATGTTGAAATTTATGTAGAACTTTCTGTTGGGCTGGTCGGTACAAGTTTTCTGCAAAAAATAAGGCGTAAACGAGACGAACACTAAAAGAGACTTGTTCAAACAATTATATGTGAGGAAAAAGCGTTCGTTCACGTATATTTTCGACTCTCTCCATTTTACGATGTCTGAAACTCCATTATGTAGATCTCTGCATGTGGCAATAGATGTCCATGTAAAATGCGTTCATGCATAGCAATCAAACATCTAAGCAGGAAATATGATCAAGACCAATTCATTCCAATACTTTGATGTGATAACGCAACGTTCTGAATTACTTTGCTTCATCTGCAGTTCGCAAGTAGCAGGAATGAGGGGAAAAACATAATGAACTTTCATTTTAATTCTTCTTTAGGTTATACGTCAGTACGAAGGGGACAGAAGTTGATTGACAGAACTGAGGCACAATTACAAAACGTAAAAAAATAGACAAGGGCAGGTATATTTCCGTAGGCGACAATAAACTTTTGTTGTTAATTTATACGAGTACCCAAGGGCCATAAGGGGCATCACATAAGGGAATACAAAAAAAGATACACAGTTGGGAACTAACAAAAAAACCAAACATATTTTAAAGTGTAACTTCAGAGTAATACAATTCCTAGTATGGCCATCCTCGTCGAGTAATGAACCCAGCGACATATGCAAAGTTGTTTTGAGTGATCAAGCCTAATGCAGGCAAGACAACAAAAATGTATGAAAAGATACAGAAGGCAAAACACAACTGTAGTGGTTCTGACTAATTACACTAGTATAAAATTAACCATTTCTTGACAAAGTATTCCGATACAGCTAGGCTACGGCATGCTTCTTTCTAAAAATATTATCATGGCAGCTTGTAGAAGCGATGATACTTGACGTGACACAATATTTCAGTAAGGGTTAGTGTGGAGAGGTGTTAATGTGAAATATACTTTAAATAAAAAGAAGCAGCTGTTTCGGAAGCATACTGCTGCATACATGGTTCTGAAAATCACAAAGGTTTCTACACATGAAACTTGACAATAAAAACTAAGTAGATCTTTTTAGGCTTTTGTGCTTTCGTAGTGATTGTTCTGTAGAAACACTACAAAACGCGCATGTAGTTTTTAACAAGAAATAATGCATTATCGCAAAAGAGCACGTTTCTCTACAATTCTGACGTATGCATCAGCTTGTTTCCTTTTTGAGTGAAAAATCGGCGGTTTCCGTGATGAAAATTCAGGATAGATGCAAATGACTAAACAAATAAATAACTTGATATTTGTGGTATAGCCGGAGCCAAACACTGCACGTTGTGCGGCAAGCAGATGTTCTACGCCAATACACAAGAGACAGTAGGGTTGGACGTTTTGTATAACATGATAAAGAGTGCTTACCAGCGCAAACGACAGGACAGGAGGGTACACAAGAGACTAGACAAAGCGCTGAACTGCGAACAATTTATTTCTTGCAAAGGTCTTCGCTTTTATACAGTTATACAGTTATTTATACAGTTTTATACAGTTATTAGTCGCAATAATCTTGCGCAAAACACAATGACAGTGTATAAGTGCTTCACACCGACAAGCAAAGAAACAACTTTTTCTTATCGTTGAGCGCGACAGAAGGGGTGCTAACACAAGCATTTTTCAATGAGCAAATCTTTTCTGCCTCTATGATCTCACGTGTAGTGTGATCCCTCATACACCCCCCCCCCCGCCTTTCCAAATTTTCCCCACCCATGGTGGAAGCTGTTTCCGACAAAACCCTGCAAGAATGTCATGCAGTGAGAGGAGCCTGCTTAACCCTGTCTGGCGTTCGTGGAGCAGAATCGGGGCCACGAACAGTCAAACCCGCGACCGGCCCATTATTGTACATCTTCTTATACGTGTCCGTCATGAACAAGTATTCTGCTACGCTTATTTTAGTTTATACAAAATCACGAACACGACAACGAGAGCTCCCGACGTAGGCGTAAACGGGCAAACGGAAAAAATCGTCAAAATGACGCGCGAAAAAAATGCTTCGCGCTTAATGAAACGATGTGGTAGAGATATGAACTTCCTTAAACGTGTTGTTGGGCTAGTTGGTTTATTCTAAAGAAATGCTAAGGACGCAACCCTCATAGGTGAAAAAAGGAAGGAGACAGGATAAGGCATAAACTTGCAACTAACTTTATTTGAAGAAAGCTCCTTTTTATATGCATGCAACAGGCATATGCGCAGTTGCAGTTGCACAGCACTTGGGGGAACAATAGCACGCTTAAGATAACGTGAATATAAAAAAATAAAAAATGCGCTTCAGATTCACGCAGAGTGACAGACATGCCACTGATAAACACATCTCGTTTAACCTTGCTAAAATACGCCTCCAACAGTTCACGTGCCGCAGTTATGCGAATGTCTGCATCATTAATTGTTTTCGTCTATGCGTCCTTAAAGTTTCTTCACAGATATCAAGTATCAATTTAACATGCCTTGACTCAAGTACCCTCAGACTAAATGGCTGGCACAACGTAACTCTAGGTGACATTGTCCTTATTGCAAACTCACTATGTATTCCTTCCCTGATTGCTCAAAATATTTGTTGATCGAGCTTCAGGACACGAGCACTTTTGTCTAATGGCAAATAAATGGCCGCGAAAATGTGCGTCAGTACACGTTAAAATAAATTGTAGCGACGAAAACTGAAAATAGAGATGGCAACTTGGTTCAGTTGCATTAGGTTTATAAAATATTTTGGTTAGGCGCACTAAAAAACAGACGAACCGAAGAGGCTGACAAGAACTGCCCTTGTCAGCCTCTTCTGTCCATCTGTTTACTTCATTTTTTGGTGCACTTGAACAAAATTTTATTCATGAAAACAAAGAATTCTGTGCACTTTGAAGCGCCATTTACTAAGAAAAACCTCTTTTAAGACAGAAACGGTTTATGCCGGGGTCCAGCAAGACTTCAGTGACACATTTCAGTACCGGTAACTACGTGAAAAAAACTTTAACACGATCAGAAGTTCCCTCAATGGGAGTAAAACCCATGACCTCTTGGTCCACGGACATGTCGGACACGCTATCTGCTGTGCCACGATCATCTTTCCTTTCTTTATGCCCTTGCATAATAAGACTGTTCACATACTCGACAATATCAAAGACAATAGTAGTACAACCTCTAAGCGCATTGAAGAACCGTCAGCTCTCAGCTGACGATTGATCAATGAAATTCGCTACAATGCTTTTATTCGCGCAATCTACTTTGGTACATCCCCTGGCCCCTTCAGCTCTTCAACATAATGACACACAGATTCGCAAAGTATATTTTTGCTGAGATCTCACTTCCACATCTGCATTTACAAAGACATTTCCGGTTCGCCTGTATCCTTTTCGGCCTTGGTGTCGTCAATAGATGACACCCCACGAAATATCTCCCGGAGCCTCAAAAGCAAAATCAAACCCGCTCGTTCTTGTGGAAGTATTTCCTGAATTAACCACACTGTGATTGACACCACCGCTATTTCATTTTTTCGGGGCACGGGGCAGTGAATGAGAAGCTGAACTGAACTCATTGGTGACGACGAGGTGGGCAAGCAGAGGCAAGAAGATGGCATTTTCGTGTTGAAGTCCTGAAGTCATTTAAAGAGCTTCTACACTTTAAAATGCTCTGTGTGTTCAGTTTTCGGGCACTCTAGGGCATAGCAGGAAGAATTTTTTTTTCTATTTCATGACTATCGGGCCAAAATGACCTAATTTGATGCCATGCCTGTAAATCCATAAATACGCACACTACTCACTAAATTTTTCGTTTGTTGTCTTTTGAGACCCTAAGTATTATTAAAATATGTGCTAAAGTGTCTCTTGCAAAAATGAGAATTTAAGGCATGAAAGGGACATAGTGTGCAGGCCCAGGAGCATACATAGATCATAAGGTACACCGGCCTCTATTTTAACAGAAAGAAAAAGTGTACAATGCGTACCCCATGGGACGAACAACTCCCTATTCTTCAACCTTGTTAGAACTGGTAGGGTACCGACGCGTAATTAGAAATTATGCCCTGGTGCTACAAGCATTCTTTAGCACTTTTAAGAACGCCTCGTCGTGCGCCTGCATAGTATAGTTGGCGGTATACGAAGGTACAAGCAGTAAAACATCGATCAGCACAGAACATGTTGCACAAAGAGAAGAAAAATAAAGACTGACATAAACATAGCATGGTCAATCCTGGAAAGTTGTGACTCTGTGCATCTGAATGTCGCCATACTTCAAATTGACATTGAAAATGCGTTTGATCGCGTGCCGCGCGACTTGCTTATTTCATTACTCGAGCACATGAATAGTTTGATCAGCGACGGAGTGCGCATGACTTGCACGACGAGATAAGTAAAACTGCGCGTGAGCGTATACGTGTGTTGCGGTCAGTAAGACATGAGTGCTCGCTCTCGCCCCTGCTTTTTCCAATTTTTATTGAACCTTTCTGTTTAAGTGTAATTAATAAGAGCGTAATATGCGCCTTTAAATTGCATGAAGCCCCGTTGCATACGCAGACGACGTTGCAGTTTTCTGTACAAATAATGGGGGTATCTGCATGCTTTGAATGCCGTGAAAACTTTTTGCGAGGTGAGTGATAGTGCCTTCAACTGGGCTAAGTGCCTTTCTTTCAAGTATAGGGCATGGGAAGTCACAACAAGAGTGTTTCTAAGCATAAGACGGCAGGAAACGCCAGTGAAGTATTTAGGAGTGCCGCTGCAGTTGTATCGCTACAGTGAACCATATTGGAAAAAAGAAACACAG